GGGCGGCCTCCTGGCCTGCAAACGGACCTTTGTGGCACGAGGAAACCCGGAGAATGAGCCATTGTTTTCCCTCCTTCCCCTGCGCCCTGCACAGAGCCGTGCCCGGCCCTGCCGGCGCGACGGGGCCGGGAGCGGAGCAGCCCGTCGTGCCAGGACGTGCCCGGCGCTGCGTGGGAAGCAGAGCACGGATCTGAGGAGCTGGAGGATGCTCTGGCTGGCAGCAGGGCTGGGGTGAAGCCCCAGAGCAATGGGGGGAGTTGACAGCCTGATCCGCTGTTGCCCACCCGGCATGGGAAACCGCCCCTGGAGTGGGACCCACTCTGCCATCCAGACCCACTTCCTCTGCTGGCTCCGGGGAGAAGGAGCCAGTTCAGCCCTGGCTCAGTCCCAGTGACAGCAGCTCAGCCTGGTTTGCAGAGCTCAAGGGCCCGGCTGGCTCTGCAGGGGGGGTTTGGCACTTCCAGCATCTCCTCTGCCACGGGAAGATGTGGGAAGAAAAGACCTGTGACAAAGGGGCTTTATGTCCCGGGGCTTTCCCAGAGACCCTTTGAGGGCCCCGGGAGATATGTGGAAATGTTCGCTGGGGACTGCCCTGCTCCGTGCCCGGGATGTTCCCTGTTCCCTGCCAAAAAAGCAGGAGCTTCATCCCTTTGGGAAATGCCATCCTGGATGGGTGGATCCACCCTGCAGCTGGGTGATCCCTGGCAGCCCTGAGTCTCCTACAGCAGGTTCGGAGATGCTGCTGTACCCACACATGTGTGCACACCTGTACACACCTGTACACACCTGTACACACTTGCACTGGGCTGTTTGGAAACCCACGGGCTCAGCACTGACAGGAACAGCCCCTTTGGGTGGCTCTGGAGCCCCTTTGGGTGGTAGGAGCAGAGCTGGGCTCTGCTCCGGTGCCGTGCAGCCTCTCCCGGTCCCAGCAATTCCCAGCCGTCCCTTTAGGGCCCAAACCAGCAGCTCCTGGAGGCCCTGGCAGAGCTCCCACCGAATTCCCGTGGCAGGGCCAGGCCCAGGGCAGCTCTCCAGCACCAGGAGCTGGCTCCTGCCCGGAGCTGTGGCTGCTGCATGTCCCTCTGCAGGGAGCTCTCCCGAGCCTCCAGACTCCCAAACCCGCGTGGAAACACAGAATTCCTCCAGGAAATGCAGTGAGGCAGGGCAGGAGGGATCCCCATCACCCACCCCCGGCTCTGCCCAGCGCAGCCCTGATGCTCCTGCGCCCCTGACATCCCTTTCCCACTTCCTCCTGGAATTTAACCAGCGGGCTGGGAGAAGCCGGGCTCCACTCAGTGACACGGCTTGTTATTAATACTCCTCCAAAGAGCTTTTTTGGCAGCTCCCTGCTCTCCAGCCCGTTTTCCAGGCGCGTGGGGGAGCGTGACGGACACCCTGCCACCGGGAAAGATGCTCCCAACATGCTGCTTTTGGCAGGAGCACCGACACAGCTCCAGAGGCAGCAAATGGAGCGGGGAGGCTCCCGCTGTGCGCGCCGGGATCAGCCCTGGATGTCCAGCACGCCCTGCCAAGGCCATGCTTGGGTCCTGGAGCTCCTGGGCTGGGTTTTGCTGGGTTTGTGCCCCCTCCCTGGCCACTCACTTGTGCAGGAATTCCTCGAGGCCGCAGATCTTGAGCAGGAAGTCCTCGACGTCGACGGCGTGCAGCTCGTCGTGGGTGTAGCACAGCGCCTGG